CAAGAACAAATCCTGCAGTAAAAGCAGTGCTGTGGAAAGAGTTCCTGCTCCATCCCAAGCATCTCAAACTGGAGTGTGCAGCTCCTGAGGGAAGGAACCATCCCCAAAAATACACTGTCACTAATTACAAAAAAACCCTCAACAACAGCTAAAAAATAAATTCAAAAATCAAATTTGGCAAGAACAAATCCTGCAGTAAAAGCAGTGCTGTTGAAAGAGCTCCTGCTCCATCCCAATCACCGCAGACTGGAGTGTGCAGCTCCTGAGGGAAGGAACCATTCCCAAAAATACACTGCCACTACAAAAAACCCTCAACAGCAGCTAAAAAATAAATTCAAAAATCAAGTTTGGCAAGAACAAATCCTGCAGTAAAAGCAGTGCTGTGGAAAGAGTTCCTGCTCCATCCCAGCTCCAAACTGGACACAGAGAGAAGCAGATCCTACAGAGCTCTGTGCTGCCCTTGGCTCACCAGAATGTGACCTTCCTGCTTGGAATATTTCCCATCTGAAGCCACTTCCCCACCCAGATGTTTGAGGTGGTTACCACACATCTGGAGCAGCTTTGGACTGGTGGTCTTGGACTTTTTGGGGGTGACAGTTTGACAACGTTGATGTCCTGCCAGGTGAACCAGATGGATTCATTCATTTCGCAGAATCACAGAATAATGAAGTTGGAAGAGATCTCTAAGATCATCGAGTCCATTCCTTCTCCTTGGCTTTATTTGGTCCCATTCCCATGGAAAGGGGGGAAAAAAGGAACTTGGGTAAGTAATTAATCTAATTACCTTAGAAAGTAACGAGCTGTGTGCTGGAACACAGCAGTCCTTGCTGGAAATGAGTCCCAGACAATCCCAGATGATCTGGAGCACCTAAACTGGGAATCTCAAGGACCTGAGGCAGCCAAACTACAGAGGCTCTCCCAGAAGTGCTCTGGGAGCTTTCCAGCCTCCTCCAGCACAGGATCACGGAATGTTCTGAGCTGGAAGTGACCCACAAGGAGTCCTGAGCTCCATGGAAAGAGGCCAAGAGTCACCACGTGTTTGTGTTCTTCACAAAATCAGAGATAACCTCAGGCTGGAAGGGACCCACAAGGATCAAGCCCAACTCCTGTTCCCCACAGAACCATCCCAACAATCCCAGCCTGTGCCTGAGCATTGTCCAAGCTCTTCTGAAGCTCCATCAGCCTTGGGAATGTCACCATTCCAGTGCCCAGCCAACATCTGGCCAGTGTCTTTGATCATTGCCACCACACTCAGGTGGTTCCTGGGGAGCTCCACCAGCTCTGCTTTGGTTCTCATGGTACCACCAGGACAGACCCACCCTCAAACAAGCATCAACCTGCACAGGGTTTACTCAAAGTGAATATTTTGATACATCCCTGCTTTCCCTGAGGGTGAAGAACGTCCTTGATAACCCCAGCTCATCCACAAGCCTTGGAGAGAGCGATGAAAACCATCCTTGGAGTGACACAGGGTTTTATCAAAGCAGGGTATGGGATGCCTGCACTCCTCAAATCAGCTGAAAACGAAATTAGTTTCCATATCTCAGTGTGTTTCATTCTAGATTTTTATGAAATTGCTGATTTAAGTCCCTAGTTCTGGGCTGAGGCTCTTCTTCAGGAGCCACTTGGAAATCCAAGTCCTTCATTTCCAAAATACAGCTTCAAAGAAAAAAAAATAATCAAAAAACAGCAGTGGAGAGGAGCACCAAAGATCATTTGCACCTGCTCATTCAGTATTTTCCAACTGAATGAAGAAAATGAATGCAAGGATTGAAAATTCCAAGCCAAAGATGAGGAGGAGCAGCACTGAGGATTTCATCAGTGAAATTATGTGAGAAACAGAGAAAAGGAGCCAGAGAATTATTGAGGTTGCAGAAGACCTTTAAAATCATCAAGTCACACTATTTCTATATAAACACTACAATAAGCAGGGAATATCGAGAAGACTGGATTCTTCATATGAAATATCAGTTTAAAAACATCCTATCTAGAAACAGGTAAAAAACCACCACATAAATCTTGGACTGAATCAACCAAATGAACGAAAAGAGATGCCTAATTCAAAATAACCAAAGAAAAACCTAAAATAACATGGCTGATACTGCATTTATAGCCAGAGGTTTGTTCAAAACAAAACCCCAGAAAATTCAGAGAGGAAAAGCAGTGAGAGGTGCAGGTGTGCTGTGGGCAGAGACATCTCCAGCTCTGAATCCTCCTGCATCTCCCACTGCCAGCTGGGGGAAAACTCACCCATCCTTGGCCTGCTCCCCTCGAGCACAGTCCGGTCATATCGAACCATTCCTCCAAAACACACACATGTGTATATATATATATGTATTTATATATATATTTATGCACACATCAGTTCCTTTTTTCACCTAATTAAAGCCAGCACTCAAGGCAGGATAACAAGATGTTGATTAATTTACTGATTTGATTCCGACACATCCTGGCTGCGTCAGTGCCCTCCCTGCAGATCTCCAGAATAACCTTCACTCCTTGGAGCAGGCTTCATTTCCTTCTCCTTCTCACATATGCAGATGGGACAATTATCCAGGCATCCATCAGGAGGGATTGCAAGAGCAAGGAACTCATTTCCAGCCCGTTTGCTGCGCACACCAGCTGAATGCACAAAGGGAGAAACCTGGGGAAGGTTATTCCAGCCTTGGCAGAGCAAGGAGGAATCTGAGATATCAGCAAAGCTTTGACCATGGTGCAAAAATCCAGCTGGGCATGGCCAGAAATGTGCCACGAAATCATGGAATCACGGAATTTCCTCAGCTGAAAGGATTGCTGAGTCCAGCTCCTGGTCCTGCACAGGACAATCCTGAATTTAGAAATAATCACAGAATCCCAGAATGGTTTGGGTTGGAAGGGACCTTAAATCCCATCCAGTGCCATCCCTGCCATGGGCAGGGACACCTCCCACTGTCCCAGGCTGCTCCAAGCCCTGCCCAACCTGGCCTTGAAAACACAAATAATAAATCACATTCTTCATCACAACACGAGGGGGCTGAAGGAATCTGCAGGAAGCCAAACATTGTTTTGCTTTTAGGGTTTGTAGGATCGAAAACCTACCTAGAAAAAAGACATCCAACACTTCAAACCGGGAAAAATTGAGAATTAAGGATATAAGACCTTATAATTTTTGTTGTCCTTATATTTGAATTTGCAAGTCTTGTGAGTAAAGATGGAGGAGATAAAGCACCAAACCCTGCAGGTCAGCCAGGCCACCCTAAACCATGGGCTGTGGTCCATGAAATTCCAATGGGATCCTGTCACTGTGATATTTCCTGAAAAATCCCTTGGCCAGGATTTCTTCTCCTGGGAAGATGAGAAGCCTCAGCTTCTCCACTGGAATGTGGTCTGGAGATTGTTTATCCATGTGAATTGTTTTTAATTAATGGCCAATCACCATCAGCTGTGTTGGACTCTCTGAGTCAGTCATTTTTCATGATCATTTTTGTTTAGCCTTCTGATGTCTCCTTTCTCTTTCTTTAGTATAGTTTTAGTATATAATTTCTTTTAATATAATAAAATATAATATCATAAAATAATAAATCAGACTTCTGAGAACATGGAGCCAAATTCTCATCTCTCACCTCATCCTGGGGACCTCACAAACACCACAGGGCCTCATAAACCAACTTCCCTCGTTTGCAGCTACTCAAGTTCAATAAAGAGAGGCCATAAATAAATTGGCCACTTCCCCACCACCTCTTTTTTTGCAGCTCTGGAGCTGTCACAGGACTGTGAAATGATTGAAGACCATCAGTTGAGAGAAAAAAAAAAAGAATTAAAAATTGAGAAGTCCTTCCAGCAATAAAAATGAAATTTATGACTGACCCAAAAGCTATTTTTTTTTGCAAGACAATATCTGCCAGCCCTCACAAGGACCACAGACCCCTAATATTTCCGCTCTGGGCCATATGTGCCATTCTCAGGCAAAAATAAATTTGTTAACAAGTCTGCAACAGCAGTTGGCACTTTCTTCTGCCAGTCTGTACGAACATCTTGAGACTTTCTTTAATAGGAAAAAAAAAAAGGGAAAAGAAAACGTTTTAGAAAAGCACAAACCCAGCAAAACACGCCTGAAACGTAAGGGGGAAAAAATAGTAATTCGAGCAAACATTTTAAATTAATAGACAACAGAAATGCTGGCAAAGTTTGTTGTTCATAAGCCTGGGGATCATGCAGGGGTCCTGAACATTTTAAACATTCAGTGTGACCATCTGTCACCAACACAGGCACGGAACAGAACGAGCAATTACCAGAGCCCTTCTCAGACAGAATCTGTCAAGCACAGCCAGCCCGGCTGCCAGCAGAAATCAGAGGGATGAGATGGAGCTGGGCAGAGCAGCTCGTCCTCCTGGGGATGGGCTGCACCTGGGCAGGGCAGGGAACAGCAGCCAAACCCTCCTGGAGCTGCTCAGGGGGTGGTGGCCACGAGGACCTGGGTAAGAGATCCCACGGTGCTGGCACCACCCCGGAGCAGAGAAACACAGAATTCAGAGATTTAGGGCTGAATTCTGTCTGATTTTCGGCTGTTTGGATGGCCTGGAAAGGCCCGGGGTGGCCTTGGGGCAGCCCGCGTTTCAAAGGACGAGAAGAGGCTTCAGTTCTTTTCTCGGTCTCGGTGTTTATTAATTGTTTATCTAAAAGATTTTCTCTCGGCCCAACAGAGCTCTGCTCAGCAGCCAGCCATGAGCACACTCCCCTGCCCCCCGGGCGGTCACCTATCTTTATACCCATGGTTACGTGTACAATATTTATCATTTTTCCCCAATACCTTTCACCCTTATTAACCAGTGCACTTTTAGTAATGACCAATCCCAAAGTGCCACCATCACCACAGAAGATGGAGGAGAAGAAGAAGAAGAAGAAGGACAGGACACGCCCCAATTCCTCCATCTTACTTCTCCAAACCCCCCTGTACAGAAATCCTAAACCCTGTGTTTCACTCTCTAATTAACTTATCCCTTCACCATTCACCCCGGTGAAACCCTCCTGTCCTCATACAGGTGTCGTCTCCTGTGTAGGATCAAAGTCCAGCCACCAGACACTTCTGGAACATTCCAGGACTCCCGAGCCCCCCAAGGGTGGTCTCGGTGACTCGGCACCTCAGTCCTGAGGTGCTGAGATCCCACAGAATTCCTTCTGGAATGTGATCCACCAGAATGACTTGGGGTGGAAGGGAGCTTAAATATCATTTAGTTCCTCCCCTGGACGCCTTCCACCATCCCAGGTTGCTCCAAACCCCATCCAACCTGAACTGGGACACTTCCAGGGATGTGATGTGGCACTTCCAGCAGCCCCAGCTGCCCTGGCATTTGAACCAAGTTTCTTCAATAATACATTTAATGACTTAATAATTGTAATAAAAGTACCCAGAGAGAAAGGAAACACCAGGGAGGAAAGATAACAGGACTGTGCAGGAATTACTGAATTTAAGGAATAAAAAAATAATATTATTTATACTGAAAGAACAACTGCAGTGCAGAGAGGTTCCTAATCCAAATCCATGAGGATGAGCTTCCTATTCATTCTCTGATCATAGGTGAATGTGCAACAAGCAGGTGCTGATGAAACCAGAGATGAAATCACTGCCAACACACAGGAGAATTGGATACTCCACTCCTTGGCCACTGGAGCAAGGGAATGTCATTTGCTACTGCCTATTTCAGTGCATTCAAGTACTGAGAATGTTTGCCAGGGGGTAAACACTGCATGACTTGGGATTTTAGAAGACAAATTCAAGTGTTTCCATCAATCCCAGAAGTCCTGGGCCCACACAGACCATGGAGCCATAAAGAGACAGGGGACTGTTCCCAGTCAGGTCAGGACAGGAAACCTGATAATATTTAAGGAGATGCCAGGAGAAGTATTAGCTGATCTTACAAGGAAAAAAATAATTAATGAAATTAAAAGATGAGATGAGGAAACACAGGAGAGGAGAAGAAAATACTCTGGGACTGTATTAAAACATGAAACACAAAGTGACCACGATAAAATCCAGATGGGATTATCAAAATAACATCAGTAAATGTCAAAGCAGTGAACTCCTGGGCTGGTTTTTCAGCAGAAGATCAAGGAAAGGCCAAGTTTTGATAGAAGTGTTCCTCTACTTGAGTGATTTGTTGTCTCAATGACTGAGTGACTCCAACGCTGTCACGCTGTATTTAGAGATGATTAATGGAAATACAGCCTCCACTCACCCTCCTTCCTGCAGAACCTTCCTGCATCCCTCCAAGCCAATATTCTTTGACAACTCTTACACCACATCAGCTCAGTCAGGATCAAATATTGACAGGAGCCTGGCAAACACTACAGGAGAAACAGTGTTTTATTTAATGAAGTAATTAAAAGCTGCACTATCGATATCTGGGAGCGGAGATGTTGATCAGAGCACGAGCCTGCTTCTCATAATGACAAAATGTCTGTGATCCCGTGGAGCTCACAAAGGAAATGGGATTTCAGATGGATACACAGGGGAAAGGATGAACAAGGGAACTCAGCTGCTTGGCTTGATAGGTGGGGTGCTCAGAACAACACAGATCCAGCAATTTCCAGTGACTTTTTCTTCTTTTTTTTTTTTTTTTGGTGGCATCTGATACATCTCCTCAATTGGCTCATTTATCACAGAATCGACTTTAAAACAACTTTCAAACTCTTTTTTATTTTTTTCCCCCCAAAAAGGCTTGCATTTTCTGACTGCTAATCTGCCTTATGGAAGCTGGATTTTAGCTGAAAAGTACATCAGTAAATTGGCATCCCCTACTGAGACAGATAAGAGCTCCAGTCACTGAATAAGGATGCTGAAACTGTGACAGGTATCTCTGAAAGCTCTTTTGAAAATTCCTTTATAAATAGTATTTATTTGGCTAAAATACCTGATCAGTGCAGCACTTCTGTAATCTGACTGTTTGCAAAGTGCTTTAGTTCTTGAGATAAAAAGCTGCTACAGAACTCTGAGGATCATCTGGAGGAGCAGTTTCCTTGTACGTGTCAAACGCTTTTGTCCCCAGCCAGGTCTAATTTCATGGCAATTGGGCTCATTTTGAAATCGTTTTTTTATTTTTTTTTTCCCAGCTTTCCAGCTACATGTGAAAAGTGCATTAGGTTGGCAGAAGTCTCCAAAGCAGCAGAAAATCCTTGTAAGAGAAAAGCAGGAAAAAATAATAATAATAATAAAAAAATCAAGCCATTAACTGCATTTGCAGGGACCTGTTGACCATGAGACTGAGATTTTTATCAGGATAAAGGCACAGGGACACAAAGAATTCCCTTCCCTTCATGTGCCATCCTCTGCCTGGGCTTTGTCCC